TTTTATATTAAAATAAATTTTGCAAGGAGTTGCAACTTACCGAGTTGCAACTTCTTAATTACAGTGCCATCTTTAGTTTAAATATATAAAAGATTTGAAAACTTTAGATCAATTACTCTACTGCATCAAATGACTTAATTTATATTTAGCACCTTCTCCAGAACTTCTATTTCTTATATAAAAATAATACTTTGCTTCAAGCTATATCTGAATGTGAATATAATTCACACATATGGACACCTTTACTGAGGAATGTTTTTCTCAGAAAAACAGATATTAAAGTTTAATTATGAAGAAATTAGCATCAATTTCCTATAACAAACTCGAAGAAAATTTAAACATTACTGGAAAAAGTAGATCAAAGCTTGATAGAAAGCTTTCCTTAGATTATTAGATACAGAAGTCTTAGCACAAGAAGACAAGATTCTAAATACACAGAAAGAAGAAAGGCAATCTGAGAAAATTAGAATATTATACAAAAGTTATTCTAACAGCTTTATATATTTCACTTCTTACTACTGTAAAGGCTGGAATTATAAATATCGAAACATATTGTTTATAATCTAACAGATTTCAACTTACTATATCAGCATCAAAATATCTTTTTAAAGACACAATTATAATAATGAACTTACAGGATATCGAGATACTAAGAATTATGAAAGCTTTCTCAAAACTTATAATAGCTATAAAAGTTATTTTATTTTGAAAAGTAAGAACAAGGAAGAATACAGATATTTTTTATAAGTTATTAGAAGAGAATCACAGACGTTTAAAAAATGAGAAGCAATTCATGTCAAAAAAATTTTTATAAATTAATAGTATATAGTAGAATATATTAAAAAAGAAGAGCAATCACAAATCTGTTAGCATATCATATTTAATATAATTGAAAATATTTTAAATATGATTTTAAAATAAAATTTATTCTCTTGCGAATTTTAGTGTTTAATATATTTTTTATTATGTATAATAAAAATTTCAGAGCATATGGGCCTTTGTAATAGAAAAGGTGAAATCAGTCAGAAAAATCAAAAATAAGTTAATGCTAAATTTGAATTTTCAACCTATAAAAATCATATTTGGTATATAAAAGTAAAATTAATTTTTCCTGGCAGTTTTCCTCCTTTCTATTGTAAAGATCCTATATATTTGGAGATATATTGTATATGCGGTATTATATAATTTTTAAACCAGGTATTTTATATTATACCTGGGGTATTTTGGTACATGATGTATTAGAATGAAATAACATCACTGGTCACTGTAAAAATATAAAAAATATCACAGTATTATTAATGTGCACATGATTTTTCAGATTACATATTTTTCAATATGCTGATCATAATTCATTGTGAATAAAGACTCCTGTAGAAGCATAGCTTTGAAATGAGAAATTTGAATTGTAATATTCATTAGTATAAGTTGATAAAGAATCGCTATAATCTGCTAAAATCTGCTAAAAATATTATAAATACATTATAAATCTCTTAATCATTAAAATCGTTAAATATGATATATTCTGATTTCTATATATATTTAAGTGAAACCTATTCGTATGTTAACTACAATCTTTTTAGGATGCATGAAAATGAGACTCCATTTGATTGGAAAAAGCGAATCTAGGACACATTAATGGTTTATAAAAAAATCTTTCAAACTAAAACTTCATTTGTTTCTATAGATTTTTTGATTATGAATATTTGTATTTCTTAAAATCATTTAAAATCTTATGTATAACTAGTAAAACTAATATTTTGAAAGAATCTTTTATTTGTAATTTAAAAAACATATATAAAAGAATTGGATTTTTGTAAAATCAAAAGTTTCAAAATGGTCTTAAAAGAATAGCATAACCTAAATAAAAATTTGCTTGAAATTATGTTATATTTCTTATTTTTAATTCTCTTGATTTTTAATGTTTTACATGTTCTTTTGAAGTTGAAATCTTTGTTAAAATGCAATTGAAAGGCCTAGCTTAAATTAAGTTTAATCAAGTTTCAAAAATTTCTAAATTTTTAAGTTAAATAGGTTTTGAATAACATCATTACTTATAGGTAAAATTTTACATAATATCATCACAAAAAAATAGCTAACTTATAAAAATAAGAAATTATTTATATGATGAATAATAGAGAGATTAATAGTAATAATGAATAGAATTAAACTTTAAAAAAATTCAATATATGGGAACGTTTCCAGTAAAATCAAGTCATGAGGCATAGTAAATCATATGATCCGTAATGTGATTTTACTGGAAACGCTCCCATATAATAAAATTGAATGGCAAATAAAATTTACACTATCAGTATTATTATAAAATTTAACACTTCTATATGATAGATAATAGTATGGCAAATATGATTAGATCATCACGTTTAGGGATATTAGATCACGTGCGTGTATTTATTGGGTTGTGGAATAATCAGTGGTATAATATACATGTTAACCTTGGTTTACTGTCATTTTTTCTGTTTTTAGTTTATAACTGTTGACCGGACGATACTTGGATAGTGAATAATGAAGGAATATCAAGATAAACCGAACTCGAGATTTTATGATACTATACTTTGAGATGATTTGAGAATTGTGAAGACATGGAATTTGACAAAGTTATGAAATATTATGGGTGAGCAAACTAATTAATTGATTGCATATATGATGGTTAAATAAATAAGATTTATTGATTAGACAATATACCTGGGTTGAATTTTCAATATTTTATTTTGAAATTCTTTAATTGTTATTTATATATACAGATTATTAATATATGTTGAGGATGATTGGAAATTTGAGTAGATGCTTAAAAAAAAAGACAGATTAGAGATTTAAATGATGGAATATTAAGTGAAATTATTACTGATATGTTGATGATTGGAATATAAACGGTAAGCACGATTTACCATCATTATTGTTTTATTTTATTATCAAAACCTTTATTAATATATCTTTGAAAAATGATGAATGTATCGGAACCTTCATGGTATGATGAATATTATTAATGAGATGTTGGACTAAAGATAAGTTGTATATTATGATATCACGTAACTTTATGCGAGGCGAGTGATTTAGGTTTGAGATATTGAACGGAAATTTTATTGGATGTGGATTTATTATTGCGGGCTATGATTTTAAGTGGAATGATAATTGGAACTTTAAAGATCGGAACATTAAAAAGAAATCTGGTTTGATTACCAATTTATTATTGACTATCAACACTTTATTAAATTAAAATATAATTTACTTAACATTGGATGTTGGAAGAATGATGTAGAGTCTTGAATGATGGATATTACGTAAATTAATTTTAAAATGTTTTTAGAGAAATTAGGTCTAATAAATTTTCTTTTCTTTTTGCTCAAATCATTCAATATATGAAATTAATGATATTAAAGGATGAAGATATTCGATATAAAATAAATTTGAGCTAAAAGAATTGGATCTTTATTTTACTATATATAATTAGTAAACTATAAATTCTATTCTTTTATTTCTTTTTCTTTCTCCTTGTACGAATAGGAATGTTATACGGATTGACTCCCTTTCGATATTGTTCTGTCCAATCAAGAATCCATCTAAGATAAAATAACATTTAGTTAAAATTTACTATTAAAAAAAAGGTATTTAAAGGGTGTTCACCTTCGTTTTCTTGTAGATATACCCATTTCACTTTTCATTTCATAGCTTGAAGCTGTAAAAAGATGTTCCCAATCCTGATTTGGAGGATTTGATATTTGTGAATAAATATTAAAAAATTTTGTTTTTGAAATTTTTAATATAATTTACGCGAAATTTATCAGCTAATTCACCACATCCTCTTCCACATTTTTCCAAAAAAGTTTTTGGGTCCTTAAATCGACCTTGTGATATAAAAGAAAATTTAATCAAGTAAAAACTGGTAATTTAAAATTTTTTTCGTATATACCTCTTGGTTCTGGTACAGATTTTTGTTTATTTTGAATATTTCTTATTATTAATTTATTGCCTAGAGATAAATAAAATTTCTTAGTTAAACATGAGATAAATAATAATTGAGGAAATTGATTCTTTAATAAGATCATTTTTTTTTTTAAAAAAAAAAAAAAAATTCGAGTAAAATAAAAACGATACAATCACCGTGTAACGTTCAGCACCATGTGGCTTAGCTTTACATTTTATTATATATAGAGAAAATTAAAAACCCTTTGGTTTTTAAAAAAAAAACATTTGCATTTATGTCTTCCAGAAATAATTTTGCATCTTCTAATACAATAACAATATTAAATAATTCTATAAAGCAAGATGAGAACGAAACTATCGAAGAACTAAGCTCAGAAGACAAATCTAATTTAATAAAGTACAATTTTATTTATTTATTTTTTTACTGTAAATAAAGATGTATTTTTAATTTGTTAATGTATTTTAGGGAAATTATCGAATTACAAGAAGGACTGAAAGGTAATTTTAAGCTTCTTTAAAAAAAGATATCTTTATGAACTTTAAAATTAACCATATAATCTTTTTTGTAATAAAATTAGCATTAGTTGAAAGAGTTGAATCAGTTAAAAATGATCATGATCAAAAGCAATCAGGAAATCAAATTTTACAAACTTATATAAATAATCTAATGTCCTCTAACGTTTTATCTTCTGCAAATGTTAATAAAAAAGATGGTTAAAATGAGTAAAAATAATGAGGTTTGCAATAAAATTTTATTTATGATTTCGAAAAAAAATAAATGGTCATTCAGAATACATTAATGATCAAATGAAAATCTCAAACGGATAGAAATTCAAATGGTTCAAGCATGATTCGAAACATTTACATTTATATGATATTCTTAAAAATTTGTATTGCTTAAAGAAGTCGCAAAATAATTTTGATATTCGAATATTTTAATTTCACATGATCCCGTTGGTTGACAATAGAAATTTCATCCGTATGATTTGTAAATGTAATCTAACATCATAAAAATAAATTTCTGTATGAATTTTTATTTCCTCAAATATATATAATATATATATATGGTATTAACTTATAAATTAGCAATAGAAAGATTTCCTTTATCGAATATAAAATACAGATTATCATTTAAAAATAAAAATAATTTTTGTTTACTAAATCTCAGATTAAGATATTAATTTGTTTGTTTTGTTTGTTTTGTAATTTAATTTTCTTTTGTTTTTTTTTTGTTTGGTCTGATGATATATGGGGTTCCGAGATTTTTTTTCTTATTGCAATAAAAATAAAATTTTATTAAAAAATTCTCAGAACCCCATATTCTTAGCAAACCTCCCATATTTCATATATTTAAAAAAAAATTCTTGAAGGAGTAAGTCGAACGAATCAGTTCCTTTCACGTGATCTACGCGAATTAATATAATAAATTTACTTTCAAATCACAAGATAACATTACACTTAAGTTTCTTCATATTGCATGTTATGCGTAATTCTTAAAACCTTAATTTTCTTTGTTAAAAAAAATTTACCTACTTTTTAAACGAAATTATTAAAAAATAAAAAAAATAAAATTGTTTTTTTGAATCTTATCATAGGTATTAAAAAAAATCGGTAAAAAAAAAAATTTTTTTCGGAGAAAAAGATACATCTACATAAATAAATATATATATATATACACACTAGTTATAATTAAACAATGAAACGATTTTTTTAAAAAAATAAAGTCGAAAAATATTCGGAAATATTTGCTTAAGAATTTTTTTTTCATAAAAACGGAAAAACCTTGAGAAAAATCTGCTAAAATAAATGACGAAAAAAGAAAGAATTTAAATTAATAAAAAAACTATTACTTCTGATGTTGTTGGTCGCTTCTTTTAGCACGACCATTGCTATTTTCAATTTCTTCACCACCACCCCTATTACTCTCAGATCGTTGTATACTTGAAATCCTGGAATCTTTTTCAATGAGTAGATTCTTTAGCCATTTAATTTCTCTTTCAAGTTCTTTTACGCGATTTTCCAACATTTCAGCTTTTTCACTCATGTCTCTTGCCGTTTTTTCAAGTGACTGTTCACGCATTTTCTTTTTCACTCTAAATCTTGCGGAAGCAGCTGTATTTCGTTTTCTTTTATCTTCTTCAGCCATAAATTTGGCCCAATATTCAGGATCAGCATACATACGAGGGTTATAATACGGATGGTGCATATATGCTGGAACGTTTAAATTTGGCGCCAGAGGCAAAATCTGGGGTGGTGGTTGATAAATTGTAGGTCTATAATCAAGAGTTGATGGATCGTTGGAATTGGTTGGCGAGTAAGGAAATGGAGGTACCACGTTATTTTCTATTTGCGTTGGAGGATGTTGACGTTGTTGCAGTGATGGTTGCATTTGTTGCGTTAATGAATATGTAGGCGACGTCTGTGTAGGAATTGTACTGTTATTTTGCAAACGTTCTTCGGGGACTTCAAAATCTTCATCAAGTAGTCCTAACCCTGTTGGAATATGGTCAAAGTTAAATTGATCATTAGACCAATTTGTAGGTAATTCATTTCGTCGTGACGTGTCATGATATGTTGAGGTTTCGGTTTGTGGGGAAGAAGAGTGGTTGTAATATGACATTTATTTTTTTTTATTTTTATTTTTTTTATTATTATGTGCTATTTTTTGCCTCGCCTTTTAGCAAAAATTAATTTTTAGAGAAAAAGAAAGTGAAAAAAAAAAAAACAGCTTCACCCTCAAACGATTTAAAGGTTTACAACCAACGCTCAAGTATCTTCAAGGATCAACGGCTATTTATGCTTCCTCGCTCATGATATACTAACCAATCATGTTTATCTAATCTTAAATTAAAAAAATATAATAAAAAATTAAAAAATTTGCCATTTTTGCTCATTAAAGTTAAGCAACACAATATTTTTTTTTAAAAAGTTACATGTTCGATTAATTCGGGTAAATTATATGCTTTAAATTTGAGAATGCGAACTGCGCCTCAACAAACATTCAAAGCTTCTAATTATATTTTCACATTTTTTATGTCCGATTTTAACAACATAGTTATCTTTTATATAATCTTAAACTTATCATTTAACTCTCCAGAGTTCGAATGACACAAAAGATAAGTTTTCACATTTACCCAATGAAATGATGATAAAATTTCATCATTGTTGCAGCATATCAAAAATAGATTTACGTATTAAAAAAAAATTTCAACATTTCTTTTAATTATTGTAAATTTTTTTGGGGGAGATTTTTGAATGCACGAAAAAAAAAATACCGATATTCACAAATGAGGGGGTAATCTTTGGAATTGCGTTATTTTGGATGCTCTTTAGTTTAACCTACAGTAAATTAATTTGAAAAGAGTCCGTTAGTGCTCAAAAAAAAAATAATAATAATATAAATGTTTCGTAATTTTTCAGATTATGCATGTAAGGATGACGCGGTTTTATTTTGGAATGGCATCATTAATGCACATCATTTCAATTGTCGATCGTCACATAAAAATGTGGTGAAACGCGAAAAAATCCTCTATTAAATTAAACAATATAGTTTAAATGCACGCTTTTTTTGTTTAATAATTTTACCTAAAAATTGCGTGATTATAAGCCTCTCTTTTGCGTGAATTTAATTCAAATGTTCTTTTTTTTTTTTCTTTTTTTTTAATATTGCGGGAGGATTACGCGTGATCTTCGGTGAAAAGCTAAAGAAAAATTATATTTATATTTTACGAAAAAAAACGGTTTTTACGGAAAATAATTTGATCTGCAAATTATCTAAATTGAAGTCAAATCATCAAAATGGAATAAATAAATAAATCCGCCTAAAAAAGGTGGTGCATTCAACAAATAAACAACCGACTTAAGCTTAATCTGGAAAGAACAGTTTAAAAGTTTTTGCACCTAAATTTGATTTTCGAACAAAAAGATTCGCAAACATTCACGGATTTTATGTTACATGAATTTTACTTTTTGGTAACGAGCATTATGCTGAAAATTTGTTGAAATGGTCCATCGCACGGATCGTATGCATGTGTTATATGCCAAAGATATCAAAATTTTTGATTTGGTTGATAAAGTAAAACTTTATCGAGTATCTGGATCAAACAGATCTATGATTTCCTATTGAACACATGCGCATACGCAATTTTATATACAAATTACGACCTATCGACCTTAATAGGAAGTTTTATTTTCTTGTATACAATGCATAAATGAATGTTACATTAATCTTTATTACTACTAACTTGTTTGAGGGTGGTAAACCTTTCAAAAGTGTTATTTTTGGACATCATTATCAGTCCATTTTGATGTTAATTATGACTACTAAAATAGAAAGTGAGCGATCACACACAACTTGTTATGGTAATATATAAAAAAAATTTTATTCGTACAGCCCTTTTACAAATTGTGTCACTTGGACAATACAAACCCCAATTTATTGAGGAATACTATGGCAGAACGTTCCATTCCGTCTCGACTACCAAGAGAAAGGCAGTTAGGGTCCATACACCTTTGATTATGTAAATCATATGACCAAACATAATTAGTTAATCCTTGTGCAATTGTATTTTCCCGTGATGGCACTTTAAAAAAAATTATTTATAAAGAGAGTTTTGCCTAAAATTAAGAATCCATTTTAAGGATGCTGTGACAATTATATAGAAGTCATGTGAATGGATAATTTATGGTAAGGTTCTGAGATAACCGTTCTATGTAAAAAGATATACTATGAAAAGTTCAAGTAAAATTGAAGCTTTCATATTATAATATATTGAATATTTTTTGAATTGCATACCTTTTATATTACTATTTACCTAACTTAAACAGAATTAATTAAAAGCAATATTAAATATTAAATTATTAAATCATCTAAATTCTGATTATTAAACAAAAATAATAATAATAAAATGATAAAATTAAAGGATTTAATAAAAATAATATATAAGAAAATATCTTTTTAAGAATTTTTTTTATTAATAATTGTTTATGCAATTATTATTATATTTATTTAGTAAATAAATTATGTATTTATAAATAAAATAAAAAATAAAAAGATTAAATTCATTATAGCTATTAAATAATAAAAGTCATTTATAAATTTAAATATTTTAAAATTGAATTAAATATATCTAGATTTAACTTAAATATTTATATTTTAAATAATGTGTTAAATTTCTTTCATTTCTTTTTTAATTTTAATAAAGAAATCTTTTTTATTATTATGACAAAAATGAAATAGCAGGTTTACTTTTGTTTTAAATTTTTTTTTTAACATTATTTTGCTCATTTTTTATATAAAAAATTTTTATCTTTAAATTTAAAAAAAAATATATATTATTTTCAATTTCTTTTTACATTACTTCTATATTTTATACCTTACTTTCTTTTTATTATCTTTATAATACATATAAATACATACAATTACATTTATTTATTTTATAAATTTACTAAATATTTTACTTAAGATTTTATTATTAAAGAGATTATAATTGTTTTAAGATTATTTGATAATGATACAATTAAGATAATATATTTAAAAATCAAACGTTTATCTTTTTAGATTAAATTATTAAAAGATTTTATTACTGATAATTATACTTTAAATGATAATTATCTTAATTAATTTTCAATTTAGTTAAAATTACCAATAATTTCATATATAAAATATATATAATGAAATTAAATTCATAATTTAATGATTAAACTAAACTTTAAAAAGAAAATACTAAAATAATGTATTGATCTTTAAATAAAAATTATGCAATAATCTAAAAATACTTGAAAATAACTATATAAAATAAAGATTTTATTATATATGCTGCTTAGAATTAAGTTTTTAAAGTAACAAAATTTTTGTATTTTATTGTAATCTAATATATTATTTATATTAAAAAGAAATAAAATTAGCTTTTAAATTATTTTCAAAAACTTTTATTTTATTAATTTTATGAAAAAGAAGTAATCCAATTTGTAATTGAAAATTGTTTTCTTTTATTACTTATTATTAGGGTTTTTCAAAATCGAATCAAATCAAATATTTAAGCTATTTGAATTTGATTTGATTTTTTCAAATCAAATTGAATTGAATTGAATTGAACTCAAATATTTGATTGAATCAATTTGAATCAATTTGAATTTGATTAAATCAAATCAAATCAAATATTTGTCAAATCAAATCAAATCAAATATTTGATCGAATCAAATCAAATATAAATTTTTTTAATTTTTACAATGATATATTAAAATAAAGTTATTCTAAAGTTTTAATTAAGAAATTTATTAGTAAAAAATTTCAAAGATAGCTTTTACAAAGTAAGTTTAGTAACAGGTGAATTTTACTATTAAACTTAGTAAAATAAC